GGCGCAGGCGCTGCGACAGCGGGACGCCTTGGACAAGGTCGGCAAAATCGAACGTGCGACAAGGCTCAATGGCGCCGAGAGAATGTATGGCTTGTGCATTTTTTCAAAAGTGAAAGGATTTCGAGATGGGTGGTTTTTGGCCGTCCCATGTTGGGCAAATCGATGGAGTCCACTGGCAAAAATGAACAGTAGCCACACTGAAACCAGTGGAATCCATCTGTTGACCTAAGACTCCACTGGCTTCCTCAAACTAGTGCAACTGACACTTGTCCCGACGTTTATGGACAATACGGGCCAAGCACGGTTTGCCTTGGCTTCTAAACAGCTGTCTGCAAATGTTACATGCCAACAATGCCAAAACCTGCAAAATAATGATCGAGAGGACCTTCATGAAATTTTTGCTCCCTTCACCTCCGCTTGTCTCAGCCGCGGACCGGTGCTCGGCACCTGGCCCAGACATCTTGGGGGTCCTCCCATGGCTCTCCGGGGTCCTAAATGTCTCAAGATCAATCACGTGGGAAGTGAGATGGTGCAACGACCTGACGGCTTCCGCAGCCATGAGTCGTGTTTCCGTTTTTTGTTTGTTTTTTCCCCTCCGCGAGGGGCTTACTTGGTCTCAAAGCGTGGGCCTTCAGTGCACATGGTGCCCCCGCCCACCTACCCTGATATCCAACACGGGCCCCATCAACGAGGAGCCCTAAATTGTGGTTTTGGGGTTCCGAGTACTCCATTTTACTTGCAGCTATCAGTTGCCACTACGCCGGGCAATGCAAACCTCTCTTCCCAAAAAAGCATTGTCAAAGTCACCCCTAAAGATCCAAGAACCTGATGATGATGTATGCTAACACTTAGGGTTTATTTTGCAACCCTCCCTTTCAAAGAAAAGCTGAAAAGGCTACCCTCAACACAAACCTCACCTGCATGCAACCTCCCATCTCGTTTGCAAATGTTGGCTTGTGGGAAATAGAGAGCCAATTCCCACGCATAGGTGATGCATCCAAAAAAAACCTTGCTTGCCCAAGGGTCCTGGAAATAAAAGGTTAGCCTGTGTGGGGGGAAAACCAACAGGTCGAAAGGTCTGTTTGCAAGTTAGAAAACCCAACCATCCGATTCTTTGAACCGCGCCCAGCACTGCGCGAATCGAATCCGACAAAGGCCTCAGGCTCTGCCTTGGGTGCGGCCTAGCGATGGAGTTGCTGAGCTCTCTTGAAACGGCTTGGAAGCGGCTGCGGACCCACCCCTAGAACAAGTCCTAAAACTAGTTTGAAAAAGACCATTTCATGGGGGAGAGCACGTGCAATTTAGAAAAAGCACATCCACACAGCCGATGAAGAAGCCCCAAAGGCCCCATCTTCCCGGTCAGGATTCGCTAACGCCCAAGTTCCACCGACCGAGCCAAGAGTCCGGCCAGGCGAGAGCTCCTAAGCGCCCTTGACCTCAGCAAACAAAGGCTGATGTGGCCGCATATGCTCACTTGCCTCAGAAGGACCTGGAAGTTGAAGGTTAACAATCGACCAACTTAGGGAAACCAAAAGGTCAAGAGGTCGGACGGGTACCCTTTTTAAAGAACCAGCGACACAATCGGGACCTAAGGAAGCAAGGGCTCAGCTGGTTCTCGGTTCTGAACACAAGTGGAACCCAGGCCGTAAGATCCCATGGGCCGAAGCAAGATTCTCATCACAACTTTGCTTTCAGGGAATCCCCCTTGTATTCACTTTTCCTCTGGCCGGTCATTTGGAACTTGCTCCAAGCAATTCTCCAAGCGATTTTCAGTCCTTTCCTGTTTTGCCCGCGCTTGCTTGCGGAGAGCCTTGGCCACCACCACAACCAAAGAATTCCACAAGCGACAGGGATCAATCTGCAATGCCGCGACCTGATGGTTTTTTTCCTTTCGTGTTTGCCGGCGCGGCCGCAAGAGGATGGGGGCATGGTCATGCGTTCCGGAGCCCTGAATTTGGCTGCAAAAGCAAAAACCGCTCAGCGGAATCGACTCCTGGAGCCCTCACGCCCCTGGCCCAGCGGGCGAGCCTGAGCAGAAACAACGTTGCGACCAAAAGGTTAAACCCATGGGCCAAAGCGTAGGTGCCCACAACATGCGTCAAATGGAACATAGACAATCAGGAAATTGTCCGATCCGGCTTTAGGAGGCAGTCTAAAGCTTGGGTTAAAAAGATCCCCACCCCTCACTGGAAATAAGGAGGGCAATGGATGTTGACCCCCCTCACCATTTACACAAATTCCAGGATAGACGCACTGGTGAAAAAGATTGTCTCACAAAAAGGACTGACGAGGCAACAGCCCTGTTTGAGGTGGTTTGCAAAGAAAGGGGAAACCAATGGAAAACTGTGGGTTTCCCAATGACGTGCTAAGACCATGTGCTAATTCTGGTTGGCGTAGCTACTTCCATAGCTACAGATGTCAAAGGCATCAGGCGAGCAAATTGAGCCATCACTGCCCCTCCCGCCGCAGTGAAACCCTGAGACGGACCGTGATCCCTTTCTGCATGCATTACCGACAGGGCAACCACTTCAAGACCAACAGGTCGAAAGCAAGCACCAACTCTTGCCGAGCAGCAAAACCCGCGATGCCAGGAGAGGCACCTGCCAGTCCGCTTGAGAGGCACATGCCACGGAGCCGCATACAAGAAAGGGGGTGTGGGAAAAAACAGTCACCAAACCCCGTTCTCGTTTCCCACACTGCCCGAAAGGACCTCGAAATACGAGGTCAACCCTTTTGGGATCTTGACAGGGCATTGCAAAATTTGAAAGGTCAAAAGTCGGTTTTGGACAACTGATCACGTTGCCTCTGGGTGGTTTGGGCTTCGAACCCCAAACCACCAATCCAATCTACACGAGTGGTTACCTGAAACTGAGTCCCTTTTGGGGTGAAAAACGGGCTAGGGGCGATTGGCACCCAGTCCAAGAAGCGCCCGCCCCCTCTTGGCAACCTAACTGCAGACTGAGGCAGTGGCAGGAGAGGCAAGAGACACAAAGTCCTGCAAAGAGAGATCGCCTACATGGGCGCTCAGCCTAAATGCTTGTAGGTCCTAGTTGTAGGCCACGCAAATCCCCCCAACAACAAAACACGCATTGCTGCACAGGAGCTTTCCTAGCAGCCGGAGAAAAAAAGGCCCCAAATAGACTGGAGACCCTGTTGCAAGCAGATCGTTTCCCAGGATACTAGTACTAATCTACCAGTAGCGCAATCTTACTTCCAAAGTGACATCCTCAAAACTTACCCTTAGGTTTTGTTCAGGGAAGCCGCCGCTTAGTTTTGAGAATCCTCCCCCCAACAAACAAAAACTGATCCCGCCACTCTGTCCAGTGATTTCGGTGTGGCCCCTTGACTTCCGGCTCCTTGCGAAACTTCGCCATCTGCGGCCTCAAAGACGTGGCCGCTCCAGGGGCATGATTCGATTCGGTGGATGCCCTGATCCGCAGCTTGAAAGTAAATCATCAACAAAGAAAACGAGATCATGATCATGTGTGAAGAAATTGGGGGAACTCCTTGCTCCCCCACTTCAATGTTAAGCCATGCGGTCCACAAACAGATGCAACAGTCTTGGGCCAGGCTAGGAACTGTTCAGGTGGTAAAACTCCTGGGTGTTGTGTGCAACCTTGCGTGCATGGCAATTTTGGAGGGATGCCCCGATGGAATTGCCTGATGCAAGCTCCAGGCTGGCGGGCGGCCATAGCAGCTCGGCCCACGTGACACATGGCTGGCTTCCCTTTGACGTGGTGCCTTTCTTTTGGCCAATGGGGCAGGTAACCCTAATAAAAGGGCACTACACTGCATTTCCTGCACGTGGGCAAACTGCAAGTGAACTTGCTTCAAGCGGGGTGATGCTTCCGCAAGTATCGGGGAAACACCGGCGCTGTGAAAAGGCCGAGCCGCAGCCGAGGGCCAGACGTGGCTGCACAGCCATGGCCGCACAATGGCCGCAAAAGGACCGCCCCAGGCCGCTTTTCAAAAAGAGAGCCGAGGGCCAGCTGGCGAAGCCGTTGGGACGTACAGAACCAGGGGGTCTCTTGAACCCTGTTTTGGGCTTTAAAGGGGAACGACACAAAGAGACCCACTTTGGTGGTGACCTCTTTTGAGACAAAAAAACAGAGCACAAGGGTGAGAGGGTTGCACACTTCCCTTGTGGGCCAACTCCTAAGTAACAAGCAAACAAAGCAATCGGGAAGTCCAGAGGCCTCAAACCCATTGGTTCATCTTGGCCCCAAAAAAGTATTTACGCGAAACACACAAGGCACCCAATCTCTCCATTTGAGAAGGGAACGGAGTCATTGAGGGATCCTGTAAGACAGGTTCCCCTCAACGGGACCTTTTGGCGGGCACAACTACGGTGATATGAAGAATGATTGACGGAAGGACTAGGGATTGCCGTTTCCACTGAAATTAACCGCTCCCTTGAAAACGTTTTCTACACCACCGGGGGGGGCTGCTTATTTACTCTGCAAACAGCGGAAAAGGCAAACCATGGAAAGGACAAAAGTCGTTAACGAGACTCGGATCTTGACCTCTGGGAAAGGGAGGCTCAAAACATCTCAAGTCAAATATTTCAATGGCCAGGCCCATCCTCCAACTGATGGGGTGCACCCCTTGAAAAACCACATTTCTACTAGGACGGGTGTGTCTCTTCCTGAGGTTGCCAATTTGGCTCACTTGCGTGGATTGGCCACAAAAAGGCAAAATTCCCCGCGCGGGATTCAAGCGCTGCAAGCGCACCTATGGCGCGGGGGGTCGTAGAGAACTGACAATGCGTCGCTAGAAATCGATTCTAAGCGTTTGGTTTGCAAAGCCACGACAACTTGTTCGGGAGTGGAGTGTTATTAAGAAAAAGTCATTCGAAGTATACGAGTTGCTTTTGGTACGGAAATGCTGGGAACATGAACGCAACCTTTTGGGAAGTTCCCAATATAACTTTTGGAGGTTGATGTCAAGCAAGACCGCGCTTGAAGGCTCGTTGATGTCACTTTACAACTTCCGCCGCTTTTTCAGCGCTCCGCAGTGTCATTCTCCGTCGGCCGTCGGAAAACCAGCCTGACGCTGGGAAAGTGGGAAGGTGGGGATTTCTGTTTCTCTAGAGCTGGACCATCTGAGCTAAAGGCCACCCCCAATGAACGTCTTTCCAATCATGGAAATGCCATGGAAATGAGCCATCCGCCTAAAGCCCCTTTGCCAGTTCCATGATTGGAGAAAAGGGCTTTGCGTATGCTGGGTACCAGATGAAGTTCTTTCAAAGGGCTGACCAAGACGAGAGTTCTGGATACGGGGTGTTGTACAGGAGGCTGACAAAGAGCGGGGGACACCTGCATGAAAAGTACATAGAGAAAAGAGAGAAAGAGAGAAAACAAGGGCAGGACAGAGAGCGAGAGCGAGAGAGAGAGAGAGAGAGCCAGGCCTGCTGATTCTTGGATAAAAACAGGAGTGAACCCACTAATAGGCCCACCAATTAATCTTATGGTGCTTGCGGTCGATGATTGGTCAATATTGAAGATAATTATCAGTTTTTTTTCTCTATCTCTCTCTCTCTCTCTCTCGCTCCTGCAACCTTCTTTCTTGCTTTCTTGTCTCCACCTTTCTCTGTCAAATATTTGGGTACCCTGCAGCGGTTGAGATCCACTGTGTTTACTTTCTATATCGCCAAGTCCTCACACCCTCATCCTCAAAACGTACATGGAAATCGTTTGCTCGGAAGCGAGGTCTCTTGTCAATTTCAGAATGGCAAAGTTGCGCCCAAAAACGGTTGGGCGAAAGCTTTCACAAAAGGCACGGTGGCAATCAATTTGCAGTTGTCAGGCAATGTTGGTGTCCAAGCATCGGATGAATGCAGTGGGGAACCAGCCACAGCCATAGTGCATAGCAAATGTGATCATCCAGTCGCGTCAGTTTAGCCCGCCCCCCCCATTACTGCATCGCACATCCACAGTATTCCTTCCAAACAAACGTCCTGCGTGACAGATAAGGGCCCCGTTTCGAAGGCAGCACAAACTGACACAGAATCCCCAAGGACCCGCCCCATTTGAACATCCTTCCCAAAACCACCCCAAGCCCCGCAATACGTTAGTCAGGTGTTGAGAAAAACAAACGCTGACCTAGCCGAAAACGGGTTTCAAGGATACATCCTGCCTGGATATCCTCTAAACCGGCTGATAAAACATGATACTTTAGATTGGCCCAAATGTACTAGTACCCGCGGGCCCTGCTCAACGCCAAACTTTCGAGGCTCCAAAAAGTATCTCATGTTTGACGACCCCTTCTCTGGCCGGGATGACAACCCAGAAGTCACTTGCCCAAAAGACCAAGTTGAAAATCGGGTCTCTCCTTGGGCACCCGGCAGGTTCTGCCTGAACCACGGCAGCTCGCAGTATTGCCGCAGCCTCCAGGGTCAAACCCAGGGGAACGACTTTTGTGCGGTCACTATGTTTCCGTAGGGCGCCAAACTGGAAGGGAAAACTCAGTTGCTTTTCCCTGCGCTATCCCCAGGCCTGCAGCAGCACGTTTTTATGCCAGGGGTGACAGGCCAGCAAACATCTTCCGGGCCAGTGGACTCGACAAAACATGCTTCCTGCGGGCTAGTGGAAAGCCTGGTTTGGGAAACGCTTCCGAGCGCATAAGGCTCTTATAAGATCCAAATTGGATGCCCTTATTGCAAGTATCTCAACAATGAAATCTCCTGACCTACCGCAATTTACCATGACTTTATGTTTGAGCGTTGGTTTACTTGCAATAACTGTAGCCTTTGACAAGCAAAGCGCTTTGGGAGAAATGGCTCCCTAGCAATCACCAGCCTGATCTTGCTCCAAGGGGATCACAAATGGGATAAACATCCATGGGCAACTTTGGGATGTTCCTACCATAAATGCATTGTTCCATTACCGCAGCTAAAACTACTACAAGTTTAACTCTAATTCGACTTCAACGCTTGTGAGGCATCAACGTGAGTGGTGTCACATTTCTGATCGCTTCCATTGTAACTGAGCTTTCTCGCAATGCATATTGGTTTTCAAGCGTGCCCCCCCCCCCACTGGACGCCATCGTGCACAATCCCCGCCACCCGCTGCCCAAGCCCTGATCGAGCCTGAGGTGCGACTTTTCGTCCAGAACCAGGCCGCGATTCTGGTCAAGAGCGGAGGTGTCAAGTTTGCCCGCATATAGACAAACTGTGCACGTGCTTGTCGCGCATGGGAGCGCATCAGAGCGCCGCCGTGTGCCCGCGTTTCTGCGTATGCGGGTGCGGTGTGCATGCGTGCGTGCAGTGCATGGGTGGGTGAGTGTCTGTGTCCGTGTCTGTGTCTGTGTATCTGTGTGCGGGTGTGGATGTCAAACATGTGTGCGTGTGTGTGTGTGTGTGTGTGCACTGGCACAACTCAAACGGGCAACTAGGATCATGAATTCTGACACTGGCCATGTTCAGCGTTGCTCTTGCAGACCCTTCTGACAGACTATTGACATGTGATATTGGGTTTATTCTCGCTTAGCTACCCCATTGTTGGATGGCAAACTTTGGCTGTGACCCGACCCTTACAACATGCTGCATTCCCCAAGCTGCCAAGATCTGTTTTAGAGCCCTTCGCACTGCAATTGATAATTCACATCGCCAGAAGGCAGCATCGTCAGCCTTCCAAAACGTTGTCTTTCGGTAGGCGACACAGTTTTTTTAGCACCTTTTGGGGAGGGGGGATTAAACATCGCTCAAAGGCAGCCCGCAAGAACCTGCGGTTCCGATAACTTTGATGTTCACATGTTTGCCTTTGTCAGAACGGGGGAAGTCTCTGCAAGGCATGGCTGGCAGTAGCTGCTCTCCCTCACCCACTTCGTGGCTGACTGAGCTTGTTGCCGAAGGAAACATCATAGGCCAACAGACTTCCCGCCGAAGGGTACTTATATCCTGCTGCGCAACGCATCGGAATAAGGATGGCATCCACATTCCGCCGCACTTACACGTGCGTTTCCGACTAGGGGGCCAACATAACATGCTTCCTCCCTTTTTCAACGCCGGCCGAAGGGTGGGTACCTCTGTTTCGGGCCGACCCTCAATTCACGCTAACGCTTCCACTCTCGCCTCAAGGAGTTCTACCACGTACTCATGGGGCTGCTCATTCACGTGGCCAAGGCCTGCTGATCTGAGCAACAGCTTCCCCTATCCTGGGCTTCTCTCTACCTGAAAAGCTTAACGTGAGTGTTTTTCGTCCCTAATTCCCGCTTGCAAAGCAAAACAGGCATGATACGCACAAAATGGAACAGTGGTCCATGAAACATCCCTGAAAGGCTCCAACATTGTCGAAGCAGTCATTGGGCGGTTGGTGAACAGCGCCGTTCCGCAGCCTGGCTTTGGTTCGGCCGCGGAAGCGCGGTTGTTTGTTGCTTTTGTTTTTGTATCTCGCTCTCTCTCTTTCTCTCTGGGTCAGGCACTCGGAAAGCAACCGCAGACCCAAACACAATGAGCGGGCAGAGCGTAAGTGGTCCAGAAGCCAGCCCGAGCTGTTCTACGGTGCATGAGGCACGGTGCTGCTGGTGGCTTCCCAAGTGTATCAGTTGCGCGGGAGGCGCTTGGCGATTGAACTGACCCAACGATGTACCGGGCCCAACTAGCTTCGAATTCCACACGCATTCCGACATGGCAACCACTTGTCCTCGCCCAGTGACGATAGAATGATTGTGAAAAATAGCAAAATCTCCAAGTAGTGGATCATCATGCGACTTTCCTGATTTAGATGGAACTTCCTTTTGCATCCAATGTGCTAAAGCTTCACCGAAGATTCATGCAAAGAGAACCGGAATTCCAACTCCAATGTGCTCCAACCCCAAATCACTAAAGATTGGCCTCCAGTTGGTTCACACTATTCAATGCCAATGTGCTCCAACTGTTTCCTTACGTCAAACCGACCACTTCCGGGCTTGCGCCTCCAGAAACGGAGGTTGGAAGCGGCTTTCACCGGTTGAAAGAGTCCACACCAAAGCCCACACCAACCACACCAACCACGCAAACCACGCCAACCACAAACCACGCAAACCACACCAAACACCAGGCAAACTATCACAACACACACACACACACCAAGCCCAAAAAACACAACCCAAAACTTGAAAGGCATCATTCAATCAGACAGCATGCGGCCATGGCAAAGCAGAAAACCGAGCAAACCGCCCACCACACGTTACCCTCTCTCCCACTAACATGGCACCTAGGGGCCCCTCCAAAAAGAAACTGATCTTCCAGCGAACCCCCCCGACTGGTGCCATGGCAACATCCCCCCCTACCTTCAGGGGCAGGGGGGTGGGGGGCCTCCCATTCTCCAGTACACCCCATTAAATGGAAACATGGTACCGTAAAATGGAGGAGATCTCAGGGGGCAAAATCCCGCCCGGGGATCTCGCAACGGAGGAAGGGTCGCCGTCGTTTCGGTTTCGATCGGATTCGGTGGCCTCCCTGGCCGGGGGTGGCCACCGAGAGCACGAGGCCTTTCCGAGCCCCGGCCAGCAGGCAGTCCACCTGGTCACCCGGAAGGGTCTCCAAATGGACCTGGTGGGCAAAGGGAGGTGCAGGGAAAAGGGAATAACGGGGGTAAGGAGGGTGAAGAGAAGGGTAAAGGAAACCATTGCCATTTTAGGAGGCTTGAGCAACATCCACTTGATCTTGTGCAGAAAAAGCCCAGGTAGAGGGGCCCCCAACTGAGACGCATTTCGTTCTGTATGTCATTATGTTTGGTTGCTTTCTTTGTCAAATGGAGGGCTTCCAAGTTGGGACCTTTTGATTCTGGCATAAAGAATCAGCGCCACCAACTTTTCTTGACCCGAAAGGGGCTTTGTGTTTTTTTTCGATTGGTGCGTTGCACGGCGCTTTCCTTGCTCCCCTGCAGGCAGCAGCCCGAACAACAAACCCGATCCAACAGCAATCCATTTTGGCACGCCCCTTTTTGCGCTCACGGGCACCAACTTGCAGTTGGAACACAAGCGAACGGATCACTTTGGCAAGCTGCGAAGCCCACGATGGAAGCAACCAACAGGCAGTGGGCATGGATTCATGCCGGCGGTCTTTCATATATAGCAAGAAACTCACAAGACGCTAGCGCAACTGATGATTCGTCCAAAGCCAAACCAGGCAACTCAATTACATTTTCCCTCAAGCATGTCTACTATTGCAGAGACTGGGCCTAAGATCAGGTACACTAACCCTTGCTGCAGGGGATGGTACCAAGGCAACTAATCTCAATTAAATCAACTCACCTCGCAAAACCAGGCATTGACACGGTGGCTGACCTGTCGACACCTTTTAGGCGATAATCAAGTCTGCGGTGACCAAGGCAACCCTTGTAAAGTTCCTTTTTACTTGGCCCACTTGGTCCACATTTGGGGCGTACAGAAAAACATTAACATGTTGCCTGATTCTCCTTGATCTTTTAGCCTATAGAACGGTTTCGGAGGAGACCCACTTTGCCTGCCAGGTACAAAAGCGCCATTGCATTGGTTTAACACTGGAAAACCAGCCTAAACCAACTCCCAGCAATACTTACTCACGTGAACTAGGGCCAGCAGTTGCCCTTGTCTGGGCCCCTTAGAATGACATCCTCACGAGTACACTCGAAACGGTGGATTGAAAGGGAGTTCCTGCACCCAGCAATCATTTTTGTTGAGAACCCCTCAATCCTCAACCACTTTCGCACGTTCAAGGACTCATTCCTTCTGCTCTTCAAGCTGCCCGGCCAGCTGACCCTCCAAGCTCTTCGGCACGTGCTCAAAGACTTCCAGGCAAACGCACCAGTCGTAGCCTTGGAGGCTACAAGAACACTAAAACCCTTTGGCTCATGACCCCAAGGGGGGCCAACTGGTGATTCAACAATCCCAAGCTCAAACTTCCCCTTTGCGGAAATTCGAACTATTGGCCAGGGATGCTGAAGGATTTTGACAAGCCGATTGAAAGCTCGAACTTTCCTTTCGGGTCCAGCCACTGAAAATGGGCACCTGGAGAACTGCGCGATTCGCTCGAGGGGGTCAACATCCCAAGCTGTTGGTGGGCTTGGGTTGCATCCCGGGGTGCTGGTTGCCATTTAAATGATATGACTCGATTCCATGATTCCATAGGTTGCTCTTTTGGCTTTGGGTTGCTCTCTGCAGGCACAAACCCGGTCATGCGCTTGGTGAGCCCCAGTGTGAGAAACGCCGTTTCCACACAAAATGGAACAAACAAATCAAAAGGCTTGTTGGCTTGTTGGCCTGAGGCCTCACATGGCTCGAACCGCGGTCTGACGGGGTTAGTGGACTTTCCTGGTGTCAGTTTGCACACAGTCCGGCTGCGATTCCTACCTGCTCTGTTTGTGCTCATGTCTCATATCTCAGCCTTTTCCCGGAAAGACTTTAGCTAGGAGTCTCTCGCCTGAGCACGTCCCTGATTACACATGACCAAGGAGGGGAAACAACATGTTTCATGATTGCTCCTAAAAGCTCAAACTAACTCAAACTGTTTGTTTGCCGCTAAACCTGTGCAGAACCCCAAAAGTAATACAGCCCAGGAACTCGCGAAGTGAGACTTTGGAAAAAGGGCCTTTCTTTTCTCCCAACGAACTGCCCGGCCCGGGTTTTGGCCGGGGTGCCCTTCTCAGCGATCTTGCCCGGGAGCTCAGGGTCGGCCTGGCAGAGCGCCAGCAGCTTGCTTGGGGTTTGATCAAAAAGGTTCGGGTTGGAGCAAATCGGATTGGTCCAACTGACCTCCTGCAAACTTTGAACTCTTTGCATGGCTGATTAAACTCCAAACATGAAAAAGGCAAAAGGTCATCTGGTTCCGGGTATGGGGTTGACGCCACCCTTTGCGAGGCTGAGAAACTTCAAAGACACGAGCAAAGACCGCGACAACCCAACCTGCGCTGACGTCCGCCCATGCATAATTCGACTGGGAACATCCCAAAGCACACGCGCACAAATGGTGGGCCGCTTACCCGCCGTTTTCTGCTTGGCCGCCCTTTTATGTCCCCTCCCCCCCCCAAAAAAAAGGAGAAGAAATGTTTCGACTCACCCGCATCGCTAAAGGCGGGCTAGGTGAGCTCAAAGGGACCTAGCTGAATCTCGGAGACGCTAAAAAACGTTTGTCCGCTATCCAAAGTGGGACACACAGACCCGGTGCAGACCCATCTGTTTGTTCCGCCTGTTGCTCCATATGGTGCCGCAAGGTCAAACATGGCAGCAACAAAAGCCCGGACTGTGTCCCGCATGGGCGACGTGATGCCACCGCGTACACACTTGCCACGGGCCGGGCAGACAAAGTCTGCATGGTAGCACATGCCCTCCGTGAGGCGCTCCGTGTCTGCATGGCCATCGAACCTGAGACATCAGCCATGCCGGCCGCAGATGCGTGAGCCAAGGCATCAAGAAACTCACTTGCCCAAGGGACCTGGAAACAAATAGGTTATCCTTTGGGGACCTTGACTCAAACCGAGCCCAAATTCTGGAAAACCAGTTTGTGTTATTTCAGGTCCGTTCGCTTTAAACAACTGAGGAAGCTCCTACACGCATCGAAAACATCAGAGCACCCACAGCAAGAAAAGGATTTCGTGCCTCCACACAAGAGCCCCAAGAGACTCGGGCAAGGCCCACAAGCTCACGAACATAGCAGCAGCTGTGGAAGCCAAGTTCCTCCTTAAGGTTCCCCAAGTGCTGTTCCAAGCTGCATTTGCCATTCACCACCGACCAGCCGAAACCCTAGCTCTCACAAGGCAAACGAATCAGCTTCCTTCCCATTTGTGGTTTGGACATTGGATGGTTTGGCGGTTGCGGGCGGGTTCCCATTTACCCTCAAGAACCACGGATTAAAATCCCCAAGCCAACAATTCAAACCGCCAAGTGAAGATTTCACAGCGGTTCAAGCAAACAAACACGGAAACATCTTTGTATATTGGCATGTCAACATGGATGGACATCCATAGCACCCCTGGCGTCAACCTGCCTCTCCGCATTGCAGGGAGTCCTGAACTTGTAGGGGGCAACCATGCGCTTTCCCAGCCATGAGCCATAATTGACGGTCTGTTATTGTTGTTGTTGTTTTTCTTTGGTTGAGGTTGGGCAAGCAAATCCAAATCACCGAGCAAGAGTAATCTGAAACATCCATCCTCAAAACAAATCCAAACCACGACAGATCCATGCAAATATCGCCAAAACAACCCGCACCACCAGTTAGAGCTGATCGCTGGAACATCACAAGTTCGATTTGATCTGAGGATGAGCCAGCTGAATCCAAAAGGAACGCCAGCCCGGATCCCAACCCAATTTGAGGTCTCAAAAGCGGACATGGACCCAAATCCCAAACGGCAACGGTTATCTTTGAAAGCCCCCTTTGGGGAGTTGTTTGCCCAAAAAAGCGACAAGTCCACTTATTCGTTGAACTTTCCCTGAAGGAAATGCCCTTCAAACCCCCAGAAAGGCACCTCAAGTGTATCACGCACGGATTCAGGGTCAAAGATACCAGGCCCCGGGCCCATCGCAGGACAGGCCACGAGCTCGGAGAAGAGACACGTAGAAGCCCAGGCCGCAGCCCATGTCGATGATGGCCTCCGGCTGCTGGTACCTGGCGAAACCACCGGCGCCCGTTTTGAGCTTTGCCTTCCGGAAAGTAAAATGTAGGCACCATGTGTTCGCAGAGCAAAACACCACCCTTTGACAAAGCAGCACCCATATGATGTGAGCAGGCATTTTCATAAAGTCATATCTATATATGCATACGTGTATATATTTTTATGAATATATTTACATGTATATCTATCTATCTGCCTATTTATCTACTTGTCTATATGCAAATACCTACAAAGACGACATTCACCACCCGATCTGATGTGTCAGGGCACTGCAGGAAGGCCCCAAGTGCTTGGCCCAGCACACGGTCGTGATGGTGTAGCCTCGGATCAGCAATGAGCAATGCAACGGTGGATGCCCCTGCCATATTGCAAGCGCGCTCAACTACAAAACCGCGGTAAGTTACGGTCGATTGGGGGATCCCTTGTGCTTTGTACTTGCCATATCTAGGGCATCCACCGAAGCTTTAGTTTTGCAATCGCTCCGTTTGGTCGAAAGGCGTCCAGCCCAAGAGTATCATGGATAAACCCGCTGTACCCCGCAGAGCTCGGTATCATGCGGGCAGAAGGAAATGTAGCACGCCTTGGCAACTCAACCCCAATTTTGACTGGCCGAAACTCTCAAGGGGGGGCCACCTTGCATTTACTCCCAAGCACCGACAAATAGGTTTACTGCATAAAACACATATACAAATTACAACAGGTAAACATGACTATATACGTACTATTCTGGTAGCACTTTGTGTTGGTGGCCCGGTGCATCACACTTCTGGCGCCTCTCCCACAAATGAATGCATAGTAGATTCGAATAGGATATATCCACACTAAATGAAACGTCCAATTCTTGATGTACGATATGCGCAATGATATGAACGGTTCATGCAACATGACATGTCGCTGCATTCAAACATTTTGTCATTTGTGCGTTTCTCATAGAAATCCTGCGAGCACTCACTGTACGTCCAGCCGGGGTCCAGGCTGGGAGCTCCAGCCTTTCCAGGCGCCGGTGGGGCTCACCAGTTCCTTCAACAGCGCCTTCGGATCGGATCGCGTGGGTCCCGAAGCCTTGGGGCCCTGGAAGCAGGGAAGCTTCCTGTCAAAAGCGGCCCAGAAGGGGGTCTACGCAGTCTGAGTTGAGTGATTCTGAACCTGGCAGACATGCACGAGGATGTACTTGCCCCCACCCCCACCCAGGACCCACCCGCCCACCAAAAACAAACAACTCAACTTGTGGGCCTTGCCAAAATTGGAGGGGAGGGTCTTTCCGGGCATCCCAAAAGTTCACGCGCCGACACTTCTTCACCTGTCCCGCCTCCGGGTCCAGCTGCTCCAGAGCCTAGCTGCGCAAGCAAAAAACAAAATGCACCCGGCGCCTGAGATTGGGCGTGGATTCGGACCGCCCCAAAATGGATGTCGGTTGTCCTCCTGGTTCCCTTTTAAAACCGCCAAACAAAGGTACCGAGCCTCAAAAAAAGGCACACCCACGTGCAAACTGCTTGCTTTTGTGAACGTCGCCACTTGGGACCCAAAGAATTGACACATGTTTTTTTCACGGCCTGGGTGGGTGCGGGGGGGGGGGTGAAGGAGGTGGAAGCGAGGAATTCAATCGCAGGCTTGGGTGTGGATGATTCCTTTGGGGTGTTGAACGGGCCTCGACTGGCTTTCAACCTATGGCTATATCAAAATCCTTCTTGCGGAGGGTTGCAACAAAGGGGCCAACATGACAATCCTCTTCAACATCACGTTTTGCATTGGCAAACTGCAGTGCTGGTCAACTGGTTGAAGCCCTTGGATCAAGGCAATTGATGATCTCAAGCCCTGTTGTGAATGCCTGGGTCAGGCCAACACTTCAAACGTCCCAGTGAAGCACCAATCCCTTCTAATTCACGCACATCTTAGATAAGGAATTCTCGAGAAGGAAGCTTGACAGTCTGAGGGTCGTGTTGTGGACGTGATTTCAAGATGTTGTTAGTGGGTACTAGTCTCTTTTGGCCATGGCTGCGCACAAAAGGTAAAGTCGCCTGTCTCTTTCTACAGAACGTTTCAACCTATGCAGAAAGGCACGACATGGCGCGACAAGCACAGGGCCGCTGCATCAGCAAGCATACGCTAAAAAAAGAGGTACACCAAACAATGGTAGATTCCAGTGGCAAGCTACCGGGCAAACTGTGTCCCACATGCTTGCTATACCGTGGATAGAGAGAATCCTGGAACCCTGCCTCAATTGGAATGAATGAGGCTCTATGAAGAGAGGAGTTTATTCGGGAAGCCCCCCGCCTCGCTTGGTGCTTCCACGGTAGCCATGGCGCTCGCGTCGATGGTGTTCGATGTGCCAAGGTTTCTTAGCCAGACTTTGGTAGGTGCCAAAATCGGGGGACCCCAAAATGGGTGTTTGTCTGTGTGGTTTCCCACCCCAGAAAAGGGTACCCTCAAAAAACACACACCCACATAGACCCTCTGGGACATTCTAAGACAGGTACTACCTCAGCTTACCTTACATTGCCCCGGAAACAAAAAATGAAACCGTCGCTGACTGGAAATGGGGAACCCCGAATAAAACAACCCAAAAGCCAAATCGTCGACGCGCTCTGATCAAACGTTTGTATTCTCTTGTTTGCCCCTATCAGGACACTGCGGAAATCGTTTGGGAATTTGTTGCGGGTTGGAGCCATCAATAAACCTGAAACAGGTGCTTTCTAGCAAAAAGTCCGGTGATGTGTGATTACGCAGCTTGGCCAGAACAAATTCTTATGCAGTATGATACAGCATGCTGGCATAGTCATGCTAAACGCCTTTCAATAAATCACATTTTGGGATGAGTTGTTGAAGCCAGGTCGGAGAGGTGTCTGCTTCAGCATCGATATGAGCAAACCTGTGCACCTAAAAATGCACACGGCCTAGGGTTCAGGCTTTGAGATTTAGCCTCAGTACTCAACCATGATAACTATCGCTGACGCTCGAAGAAAGGGACACTGTGTTTTCTTTGAATAGCGCGGCAAGTGGATCTTGAGCAAAGCGCGGTGTCTGATGATGATTTGAATCACTGGTGACTGAATGGGGCAAAAGCGTCTGAAAGCCGGTATCTGGCCGTGTCATATTGATTTATCAAACCTTTTTCTGGGGACCCGCCTGGGGCCAGCCCCACAATCCCCCATGTACATTTGACGCCTGATGAGAACATCCATCTTGTGAGTGTGTTCATTTGATTAACTCTTCTGAGATACTTGTGACATGATGGGCTGGTCTTTCCGACCCTGACTTTTTGCCTTGGACAAGCGTGGCACATCCTGCCAACGTCCGGCAAGGCACAGATTTGCAATTCGGCACCCGAAGGTGTTGCCAACATTCAATTACTTTACAGTTCGTTGCAGCTGAGCAAAATTCGGCTCGCTGGACGCGACGTATTACACGCACCAGTCCGATGTCAGCCCTTTGGGCTGAAAAGCGGACTCACGTCAATGTAAAGCCAGAAAACTCATTGCACTCGCTAGGGATACCAAAGCTGGAGCATTTGCTCCTGAGCCCACGGTTTGTCCGGTCGTCGTGGTTGTGGTGGTGCCGCAGGGGTGCCTGGCTTCGATCAGGAAATCAAAGACCTTCTCAGCACTGGAGCTGTCCATCTGTGCCGCGAAGGCATAGTCTGCCGTGCTGGAAGGACGTGTAAGTAGATAGAAACCCGTCTTGGCGCAGTAGCTGACTACAAGGCACGCTCGAGTGTGGAGGTGTGCCTCGCTGCGCACATGCACCTTGTCAGGCGCCAAGCCAGGGGCACCGTTGAAGTTTTTCTGCTCCACCACGAAGTTGGTATAGCACAAGCCATCCATCAACACCCCAACAACCGAAGTAGCAGCTGCGGTGCTCTCATCGAAGGTGCAGCCGGTGAAGCTGGCGGGCTTCAAACTTTGCGCCGTGGTGCACTCGTAGTCGTCCGCGCACATTTGGGTGGCCGACAAGCAAGTGGGGGTGGATGTGACGATGTTGGAGCCGATATCCTCGACAGACGTGGCCTTCATGCAGCCATTGCCATCCTTCATCCCCGTGACCATCACCGTCCAGTTGTTATCCAAGCCGTGCGCAGCCGAAGCGCCCAGCACCATGGTCATAGCGCAGATCAACCGCAGCATGTTGACGAGATGCGGCAATTCAGGATGTCTCTTGAGTGCGGTGGCTTCAATGGATACGTTACATGAGCCATGGTCAATATATACTGTGTCACACGGGACTTTAGTGAGTAGTCCCCCTTTGATAGTGCCCCCCCCACCCCCCCACCCCGCTGCTTGCGGTCGACACGAAGTTAACGGTCATCCTGAGGCGTGTCGTGCCAACATATTCCGGCTCCCTTAAGGGGTCCCCCACCCAACCAACCGACCAACCGGCCAGCCCGCCAGAGTCCATTCTTGAGAGAGTATCTAATGTGCCCAAGAAGAACTCAGCTCCGAGTCTGGCTCCCTCTGGAAAAGCAAACAGTTGGATACCGCGTCCCAACTCCTTCCTTCAGCTCCCTTCCAACCGGCTAGATCGGGTCGATTTCGCGTTCTCTTCAAAAATCCGTTCACAGGCGTGGCCCATTGGAAGCAAAGGATGGCATGGAGTCGGAATGTACAGCTGGAATCGACGAAGCGGAAACCAAAGGCAAAGCCACCCCCCAAAAAACAACTTAGAACTTTCTAAAAGGGTTCTCAAACTGACTTCCTGACTGGACTGGCAAGAACAAACTGTTTGACTGCCACCAAAGGTCTTCCCAAAAAAGGTATAAAGTGGCAGTGAGTGAAGAGAAAATTGACTGGGTCCATTTCGCCAGGGCGGAAAGTGCTTTGGCAAGGAATATATAGGGAAGTTGTGCCCTTTACTTTCACCCAACTGTATGCAACATCCCCAATTCACCCTCTTAATGGTAGGTCAGAACAGAAAGGTTCGGAGCCCCTTTTTACCCTGGCTTTACCACAATGGTTGAAACAACCTGCATGCCTTTTTGTTGGGGACCCCCGAACATTGTGGTTCTGCCTTTGGTGTCCCTTTGAAACCGCGAAAACGAGTACCATCAAACAGAAAGACACGCCCACCTCCCTTTGCCTTCCCGACCAAAAATGGGGCTGGCTGCATAAACCAGTTTCGCAAACGGTTCCACGGGTTGCGGAACTTCGGAACTCCTCTCCCTGGACACCGCGAATTTGCTGGACTTGAGGGATCAAGGGTGTTCGCTTCTAGCGGGCTCCCTGTGGCTCCCCCAACAGCAAACGCACCAAAAGGCGATCTTGAAAACCAGTGAAAAGGACATGTACATAGGTGTGCTTTTGGAAAATCAAATGGTACTGGTAGATCATTAGAACCAAAGGGAAACCAGCGCCGCCTATGTTCAAGCAAACTGGCGAGGTCCCGGATCTTGATGGAGCACAAATCTTACACTGGTTAAGTCGGGAAACGGAGCGGATGGCAAAAGTAATTACGCAGCGAGAGAGTTTGTGCAGGTGCCACGTTCAAGGTCCCACAACTTGAAGCGTGGTCTGCGCTGGAGCTGCCAGATTCATGGACGAGACGCACCAGAGTGATATGTCATATTATTCTGCTAAGGAGGCGGGACCTATCTACTTTATACAGATTTATGGTACCAGATATCTCTTGATTTTTCTGGGGGAGAGTGACCCATATAATCTCGTATCATTAAGCCCCCCCATACAAAATACGGGTTGCCCGAAATCCCACATTTCCGACAATTTCTCCAAGACCACTTTTAAAGGAGCAAGACTACTCTCAATTGTTGGCCAGGCCTGTCCTGTTAGGGGGGGGAGGTCCCTGAATCCTCAATAAGCCTTAACCAAGAGCCCTTCCTCCAGCATGATCCCAAATCCTTTCCAAACCTTATGTCTGAACCCCCAGGACTCTCCAACATAATTGCTCTTCTTTCGGGGAAACCTACCACCCCGCCCCCCCCCCCCAATATTACAAAATACGGGCTGCCAGTATACATGAGGCAAGGGGGGATGACGTTCAATTCCAGGGGGCCCGCTTTCGCCCACTGTATCTGCCCCCATCAGCACGCGGCAGCAATGGGATGGTGATGGGGTAATGTGCTACTGGTGCATCGCCGGGCTCGCCTAGATTCAAGACTGAACGAGACCCCAACCAAAAAAAAACGTCGCACACATGCGGTGAACCTGCGCGAGTTCCGTTTTTTCCTCGCAGCACTCTGCATGAATGCGCCGCGAGAAAAGCGATCGGGGTTCTTCTCAGCCGATGAGATCCATGGCCTGGCGATGATCGACAGAGGGAACCCCGGATTAAGCCCATCCTACTATAGGGGGTGTCACCCAAGAGTGAACGGGGACACTCTGGATTACTCAACCATCCGCAAGAGTGACAGATTCCCACTAAAAGGGGACATCCGGGAAAGGGTGAAACAAGAGGCTAAATAAGGAGAATGGGGTTGTGGTGTACTCTAAAACTAAGTTTCGTCATGTTGGTAGGAGTGTACTAAGCATTTAGCTCCGTGTTGCTTCCCATCTTAGAAAATGCTCAAGGGGCCTGAAAGCACCCAAAGGCTAGATTTCACTTGCTTCTCAAACCTCAATCAGGCAAAAGGCAAGCTGAGCAAGAACCTAAAGACGCCAACCTGACAATGGGCTGCTTGAAACTGATCACACCAAAAGGTCGGATGAGCGCAGTCGGATCCAGTGGGATTCAGTCGGATCCAGTGGGTATCCCGTGCTGTTGGTTTGCAATTGGCGAATCATCTGAATCGCTTCAACCTCCAGCAGTCTTGTGGCTTAAGGCCACGTATGCCGACAGGGACCGTGTCAACACCTTTAGGGATCCTGAAATTGGAGACCTTGCTTTTTGCTTTCCCTATGAAGCGAGCCCATGAGCCCTGAGCCCAATACTGATTCAGAGCCACAGCAAGGTCAGCCACGGCCCCGAATAGTCACTACATATTAGACTGCAGTGGCTCCCCTTGCCATGGCTCCGAATCAGCACTGAAGGGGGCCTTTGTTTTGACACAGCCTGTGCTTCCACCAATTCGTGCCAAACTCTGAGGACTTGAATCAAGAAAACGTGCCCTACGTGTCCCAAGGAAAGCTGGGGGGGGCACGCAGCACTTGGTTTCTCGGGGTCCTTTTTCTTGGATGGGTGAAACCAAAACGGGGGGGGGGGGCAAACTTTCGGTGGGCCGCCTGCTTCAGCTGAGGTCTCCAGGTTGCCTGAGGCGACCGGGTGACAATGTGGCTGGGCCCTTGGTGGATGGTTGTAGCAACAATTGCCCTTGGTGAAACCAATATGGGAGTGTCTTTTTAAAAGGTTTCCTAAAAATCTTTGTTGAAACCAGAAATCAAGGTGGGAACTCAAAATAGCAGACCCCTGTGGGCCATTCCCATGACTTTAGGAATTTGAAGGTTGGATGCCCTTGGTAACACAGAAAAGTGGTAAAACCCTATTTGCCACAACCATGAGTGGCCATGTCGACGTTTTTTAAGGGTACCCTTTTTGAGGTTGAATTAAATGGAAACCAACACGGAAACAACAATTTTAGGCGCGTACCTACTTTGACACATGCCGTGTTTGAGGCTGTTCCCTTAAAAAGGTGCAGAGTCACAAAAGTTTGTCTATGTTGGGTGCTTTGCTTGAGGGCTTGGGTTGGGAAACCAGACACCCATTTTGGGGGCTCTCCCTTATTTAGACACAAAGCCGCGTGCCCCACGCTGCAGCAAAACCAAGTTTCTGATCGGCTTGCGCACGGCCCTTGCTGAGTCGGCCCCTGTGCGTTTAAGAATGTTCGGCATTCCCTCTCTTTGAACAGCCGACAACAAATACTGAGCCTTGCCTAGATCAAGCTCGCGGTTCTTCGAGGGAAATGGGCGCCAGGAAGGACAATTTCCAACAAGCACCAGCTTGGCTTGCCCGCTTGCTTGCTTGCCTTTCTGCCTGACTGCTTGCTTGCTTCCTGGCTCGCTTGCAGGCCTATGGCAAAAACAGAACATTGTCCAAAATCAGACATCATCCTAACAATTCGTGAGCTTTTCCAACGAATGAGGACTTTGAAGCACTGAGAAAGTATCCGCAACACTGAGCACGACTGTTGAACGGGTGCCCGCGGACAACGTGATGAGAAGAGCGCCCATGCTTTGCTTTGCTCGATTTTGAAGGGACGCCGCCTGCCCTCATGCAAAAAAAGGCACCGCCGGAGGGCGTGGGCGTTTGCGAAACTGCCAACCGCGATGCGCGCCTTCGTCTTGGCCAGGAATTTGAGGTTCATCTCATGCAAGCAGTCCAGAATCGGCTCCTAGACGCTTCCCGAAGTCGTAGGCTCCAGCCACACTACAGACTTTGGGCGTTGCCCAATCAAGTTCCGACAGAATTGTTGGGCTAAAGCCTAAACCATGGGTGTTGACATGAATGCAGAGTTTGCGTCAAAGCCTGCGGGTTGGAAACTGAGCCTCTAGGAGCCCGGGCTCGCTGGACGACCTCGTCTGGCAAACCTCTGACCTCGTCCCGAAAGCGGAAAGTTCGCACCCTGTGAAGCTGGAACCCAAAAAGCGGCTCTTCAAAAGGTGTGCGCTCCGGAATCAATTGCGTGTTGGCGGCTTCATGCTAATCCGCGGGTGGGTATGCGCAGATTCTGTTTCAAGCGGATTGCCGTAGGGTTCAGGGGATCCCGTCACTAGCACATTTCAAGCTACGTACACGAAGACTTTTGGGGCCGTAGTATGTTTGATGCTGGTCTGTCTGGTCCCGACTTGCTCAACGTGGCAGATTTCTACGTGGCGCCCCCGAAAGTTAAGACTTTCCCTTAAAACGGAAGACCCAGTCCCCCTAATATGAGCGCCAGCTGCAAGGCTCGGCCAAGCGGCCATCTCTACCAACGCGCTGCTGAGATCCCGAAACTCAGCGCTGCCGCCCTTCCTGAGCAAAGCGGCCCAAGGCCGAAGAACGAACCCTGGGAGTAGGCTGGAACCAAGCCATTGATTGCTAAGCTGGGATCCGAATTGGGCCTCGTGAGCTCAAGTTATTGTTATTGGTCTTAGGCTTTCGAGCTAGCAGCCCTCCAAAGGCTAGCGGTGTGGTGGATCACCCAGCTGCTCAAGATGGCTTGATATCCGGAAAACCCAGCAGTTCCCTTGCGTTGCAACCTTATCTTGCACCATGCGGCCCGCCCTGCTCCCCACACCTGTCCCTCTCTTGGAGAGCAATCCAGGGTACGCTGCAAATTACATACCAAATGATGCGGAGATACTGAAGCCACCTGTTCCAAGCTAGGGTCCAAATTGCAGTTTAAAGGGATCCAGTGTAGAAAGATCTCCCCGCCCCGGAAGTAACTTGGAGAAGCCATCAAAACGTCAACCATCAGGAAAGAGTTGTCGCCATCCCTGAGCTGCCACACTTGTTGGGCTCCACCGTGAGCAGCTTCTGAGCCATCTGCCCAATTGAGCTGGGGGCAGGGTGCACAAGGCTTCGGTGGGTGTGACCTGAAACTGAGGTGGTTTCCTGTGGATGTCCCTTGAACCCCCGCATGACTGCATTGTTTCTCTTGGGGCTTTGGACTGGACATGGGGCACAGAAGTCATGACAAAAACGTGAAGAGTGCGGGGGGCTGTCCCCAACAAGCACGCACTGGTTTGTTGACATGAGAAAGGACAACGCCGTTGACTACCAATCAGCTTCGAACAGGCCTCCAGTGCACTTCCATGCTTCCATGCTTGTTAGAAAGAAGGTAGCCTTAGCTCAGCTGCAAAAACAACATGCAAGCCAGTGTCATCTTTCAAAGATCACGTCAATGAAAGGCGAGATGAGAACGCAGATCAAGCCGCCACTCACCCAGCACTAGCCAACGGTCCATCTCTTCACCCCCGCGAATCTAGCGAAGGCTGAACTGGATTAAACAGGGAATGTCGAGAGCCTTGGTGGATCCCCTCAAAACCATTCAATGGGTGAGTGACACCTCCAGGGAAGCTCACCTTGATTCCAACAAAAGCGGGACGCTTCAAAACACCCTATAGCTTTTGAGGGAAAGTCGAACGGAGCAAGTCCCTGCAAGCCTCCCGCACAGGGACAAGTGTGCTGGGCCTGCGGGCGAAATTCTCGAGGGCGCCACAGGTAAATAGGTAGATCCATAGGCAGACAAGCACGGAATACGGCTTCAGTATCACATGGGCAGGTCCTAACTCAATGGTGGGCCCGTCAAGCCAAGGCAAAAAGGGCACCCTCAGAACATACGCGCACAAACACGAACACATACGCGGACACACGCACGAACAAGGACACGGACACGGGCACGGACACACAAACAGACTGACACACAGATGCACAGGGAGGCACACACACATATCTACTTGTACAATATACGTATATATATATACACTACATACATGTACCACATGTGTATATAATATAGGTACCTGGAAAGGCGTAGTTGCTTGTTTTTAAGTGCCACAGTGGAAAGTGGCCGTATTTGGCGTAAGTGGCGTATATTGCAAAACATGGATTTTTCATACCTCAGTTGCTGCTGAGAAGTATCAAGCATCATGGATGATGCAAAGATGTGGCATAAGATCATGCAACAAGCATTGCAAGCATTTACATGACATCATTAGCAAATCCATGCATAAGTTTTAAGGATGCATCATCAGCAACACAAACTCTGAGCAGCATCGGTGCATGCAACGAAACACACATGGCTCTGATGCGACCATCGATGCGGCCGTGGCATGGCATCAGGCAGGGTCGAGACGTTACATTATTTATGCCATAGCCCTAACCCATCCTAACCCTGTCCCCAGCCGCGTCCACACACTCGAGATCGATCTTTTTCACAGGCCGAGCTGATGCTATGGACAGCTCGAGCGTCTTCGATGCCAGGCTCCTGCGCCATGTTTGATCGATCGCCCGAATGAGCATTCATTGGCACATGGCACAGAGTCAATGTGGAAATGCATGGATCGACACACATGTATGGCTTAATTGCAATTTAAAGAGGATCGAGCCTAGATCAGGGTGCCCCTTTGCTGCCCATGCCGGTGGTGCCTCTTTGGAAGAGGTGGGAACGCATCGTGCTCATTCGGCGGAGGTTCGAGAACGAAAGGCCGTGGATCACAGAGCCACCCAGCGAGGATGGGGAGGAGGTGCGCCCCAACACGAACTTCATTAAGTTGAATGCCCCCGCGCTGATGGAGATGCTGGAGGTTTTTGGGGTTCGACCTCGGCCTGGGGTGAAGAAGCTGCAAAAGCAGGCTCGAGTGTGTGTGTGTGTGTGCGAAACAACCGTATACGTGCGTTATATAAAAAAAAATATTCAGATCATGAAGCATGTGATCGAACATTTTGATGCACCGAACGGATCGTTTTTTACTTCTCCAGTACGTGTCAGGTGGAGCAGCTCTATGAGGAGATGAGCTTTGCGCCCAGGAACGCCAACCAGGCCTACATGGATGCTTGGACACTGAAGCGCCTCTTCGGCTTCAGCATTCGGAGGCAGAAGGATGCAGCCAAAAGAGGTCAGCAGCCACGTGCAACTAGTCAGCACATGTTAGTGCATAGTCCTAGGCATGGCAATGATTCACGGTGCATGCCCGCATTTTCCCAGAGCGCTTCCATGCTTACATCCTAGGCAAAAGCCGTTCGGGAGCTTTTTGAAGCCATTGGTGAGGCACGCAAAAAGGCAGTTCTGCAGCGAAGGCTGAAATCTGCGAAAGACGGCGGTAGCGATGAGGAGGTCAGCGACAGCCAGGAGTCCTCGAATGCGAGCATCGTGGATGACGACACGGAGTACCAGGCCAGTGATCGCGACGATGTGGATGAGCCTGCTGAGGCGCTTGCGGATGAGGCAGCTGCGGATGATGATGAGGCATCTGCGGATGAGGCAGCTGCGGATGAGCCTGATGAGGCGCCTCTGGATGAGGCAGCTGCGGGTGAGGGTAAGCCCGACGAGGTGGCGGCCGATAAGGCAGATGGGGGCACGGGCAAGCCCAACGAGGTGGCAGTGGATGAGGCAGCTGCGGAGTGTGTGGATGAGCCTGTCGAGGCCACGTCTAGTGCGGCTGTTGGCGGTCAGGTGGCTCTGATGGCTGTCGAGGAGGAGTTTGTGCCCAGAGCTCCTGTGGAGATTTCGGAGCAGAAGGATGAGGCCAAGCCGCTTGATGCCAGTCAGGCGGATGATGTGGTGGTCATTTCGCACACGCCCCCTTCAGCCACCCAAAAGCGAGCCAAACTTCAAGAGCTGATTCAGCACATCAACAAGATCAAAGCAGATCGGGATGGAAACTTATCATTAATGATACGCATGCATGAGTATGTGGCAATGTGTCAGTCGATCAAACCTCAATGCATGGACCGAAACCCAATTTAACATGATAAATGCATGGTTCGAAACCCGAATGTTCTTTGTGCAGGCTTCAGTGTGGTTTGTCCCCATGACCGACTGCCCGAGGAAAGGTGGCTCCTGGTGGAAGCGCTTCACCGTGCTCAGCTGTTGGTCTGTCCTTGGATGAGGCTGGGCGAGGAAAATATGTGTTTCATGAATTCAATTAAACAGGCGCAGAAGCAAACGCCTGCATCATGCATGTTTGAACCATTCCCCTGCTTAGATGGAGACCTGCCCCTACGACCCGCAACATGCGGTACTACCTCATGTGTCTCCAGTGGCACTGTCTGAAAAACGTGGGTATTTTGCGGGCAGATCGCACAGCGCCAAGATGAAGGCGCTCGGGGTCATTTGGTGCACCAACATTCCCGGATGCATGTGCATGTATACATGTTCCATGCAGTGTGCAAAAACATGCATGCAAATGCTTTGTGTGTGTGCGTGCACGATGCGTAACAGCTCGCAGGAAAAGTTCAACAAGGTCAAGGCGCTGTCCCCACCTTCCACTCGAGCTGCACCTGCGAAGGACAGGCTTCGATGACCAGACATTTGCACGTGCATGTGAGTCTTGATGGAATGCATGTGCATGCAACTGCATTTGTGCATTCACTGGCCAGGACCAAACAGTGGAAACGATCATCGAGACGCAAATCGAGGACAGCATTCTAATTGTTTCATGCTTACGATCGAGCTCAAATTATGGATGCATGTCATGTGATCGCTAGCTGCAGGACGATTCCCAACGATTGGACTGCACCACCAAGAAGCTGCAGCTTTCTCCCCCGAAGGACTTTGCAGTTTCACGATTGGTGCATGGATCATAAGTTCCATTGAGTTCCATGCACTTAACCCTGAAAATGGTTATTAAGCATGCATGCATGCAGCTCATGATGCTTTTTCTTGAATGCATGTATACACATGCATGCATGTGCATTCAACCAGGACCCAGACTCGCAGCCAATCTTCGAAAGCGCCCAGCAGGACTTTGCGGTTTTGCATCGTTTTGCAATGCAGCGATCATCAACTACCCCATCTCATGAGCGAACGAGACACGCGCAGGACCCAATCTTGATCGATGACACGCTGCCTTTGGATGTAAAAGCCACCGACAAGGACGATCAAGTGTACATGTGTGCAACATGTTCATGTGCAAGTGATTTTCCAGCATGCGCCGGCACACGCAACCTGCAGGATCCTGATTTCAAGCAGGAGTTGGCCGCCGATGACTCGGAGGACTCATTTGACTTCGACCCCAGCAGCATGGTGAACCCGGACACGCAGCGCGAAACCAGATCTCACAAGAAGAAGACGACAAAGAGGGGTCGCAAGAAGGCCCGCTCCAAGATCTGGCGCAGCAAGAATGATCGTGGCCAGGTCGCAGCCAGTGACGCAGATGATGAGGACAGCCCATGTGAGGGCTTTGAGGTTAGCAAGACGCCCACGGGGAGCTCAAAGGACAAGTTGCCCAAGAAAGCAAAGGTGAAGGCAGCTTGCAAACCCAAGGCTGCAGCAGTCGAGCCCAAGTCGCGTGCCAAAGCCAAGGCTGCAGCCGCCAAACCCAAGGGGCGTGCCAAAGCCAAGGCTGCAGCCGCCAAACCCAAGGTGCGGGGCAAGGCCAAGGTGCTGGCTGTGGCTGAGGAGATCCCTGAGAAGATTGAGAAGCCCAGCAAGAAGAGGATCCTGAACGAGGGAGAGCCGGAGGACAATCCCGGAGACAACGGGGACAATCCCGAGAGGGTGTGCGGCTGTTCTCGATGCAGGTATGCAGCCAAAGGCTGCATCACGTGCAAGAACCCGGTTTTCAAGCCTCGTGGCCCGCGGAAGGCCAAAAAGAAGCCGGAGGGGACTCTATAGGCTTTTTAGATCTTTTGGATCATTGTAGCATGATGGGTTTGCATCTTAAGCTGATGCACTTGGGGTTGAACCATGCGAACATCGCCAAACGTGAAGTGAAAATGGGACGTGCTGCCACCTTGACCTGTAACATGCTTGAATCATCAACGTGTGCACGTTTATTTGACGCATGCATGTGTGCTATATGCATCGTGTGCCAGGAGCAGATCATGAGCCGGGCCTGGAAGATCCGGCGTGGCTTTCTCAAGGAGCACCATCGTCCAGCAGGTGCGCCCTCCCTCGCCTGCAGCAGTTTGAGGGATGCAGCATGTTTGATGCTCCAGGGTGCAGCATGTGCGTTTTCAGGTGCACGCATGTTCAATGCATTTTGGGATGCAATGCCTTTGATGCGTTTCAGGATCAAGACATTCACATGCAATGCATGCATACAGCATTGCAAGATGTGAAGCTTAACGCACGCATGCATGACAAGTTCACACCGGTGGGCCACAAATCATGGCATGCATGAGCAATCGGCTCGATCGACATTTGACTGCACTGAAAGCCATGGAACCCCGCCCCAGACTGGCCCCGCTGCCTCCGAATGAGTTGAAGAGCCTGGTGTGGCGCTTGATCAAGGTGCAGGCGCCAGGAGCACCTAAGTTGCACCAATGCAAGGGGCGTGGCAATTCATTCTGGTTTTGGGGTTTTGGGTTTCTTTTGGTGTTAATTTCTGCTCATCGATCGAGGTACTTATCTTGATGGTCATTTTCCTGAACCACATCCGGTGCAACTTTGGGCAGGCCAGGCATCACATCAATCCAGACAAAAAAATGTATATATGCACGCGTGCATGTCTCTTTTTGCGTCTGTG